GTTAAAATATATTTTAAATCTAAAATAATAAAATTATTAAGTATACCAAAGGTTAAGTATTATTGTGGTGGGAATGATAGAGAACGATCGATATGTCATGTGTAGGTAGTTGAATTAGGAGCAGGAAAAACGAAATTTCCGTAAAAATATTTTCGTCAATATTAACCAAAAAAAAAAAAAAATTAATATTAAATAATGTGGATGATAATACTATATATATACTATACTATTACTATACTATATAATACGTATACGTAAGCACTATACTTCAACTGATAAGTTACTAATTATTATAATAAAATGGTAATAATTATAGATTTATTGTAAATGACTAATTCAACTAAATCATTAAAATAAGATTCAAAATATTTAAATAATTAACAATTCAGGTGTGTATATTTTATAAATATTTTTAAAACTATCATTATTTTTGATGTTCCTCTATCGCCTTTTCGAATTGTTCGATTGTTGTTAGGAAGTCGTCGTCGGTCCGGCTGGCCACAACGATTGTGTCTCTGATTGACAAGGGATGCGGTTTCCAGTGGCGATTACTGCTTTCGTCGTTTGCCGTAGCCACAACCTTCTCGTCGGCATTTGGCTGCTTACATTGGTTAGACTGTTTCTTGAACTCTTTTTCAACAGCCATACGCTTTTCTGTGAGTTGAGCCAAAGTGCTATTGTAATAACATAGTGAATCCTGTAAATGGAAATTATATTATAATTAACTAGCACTATTACCTGATTTGGCTCAAGAAAAAAACGAATTAATATAAAATACGGCACTATATTGTTGTATCTCGGTTTTAGTGTTCTTGGGTGTTTCTTAGGTCAAGGGTAAATAGGTGGGGYGGTATATCTATATATCTCGCTTAGTGAATTAATTCAATCAGACGTGTACACAAGAAGGGTTTTTGGAGTTAATCTCCCGAAATTTCAGAGTAAAATTTTAATAGAGTAAAATTGGGGAAATGTAAAACAACTTGATCTCCTCTCTCAACTAAAGAAAAATTGTTTATGTACGTGCTTGAATTCAACCGAGATGGGAAATCTGCTTAGGTGTAGTATGTGATTAGATTAAGCACTTGGTATATTTTCGAATGT